AATAGTTATAAGCTATAAGCTGTTTAAGCATAAGCTATAAGCACTTTCCCACAGCTCTACCAAGCAGGGCCTGTCGATTATTATGATATGTGACAACTTTGTGTATTACAGTGGGGTGTGAGCTTTGGACATCTATTTTTTTCCCCCTCCCACGTTAGGCACACTAATCCTCACCGAATAAATTTCTAGAGAGAGAGAGAGAGAAAGATAACCCGTGTATGTGTGTATGCATGTATCTGGGTGTGTGTTGGGAAAAAAAAAAGATAACCCGTGTATGTGTGTATGCATGTATCTGGGTGTGTGTTGGGAAAAAAAAAAGATAACCCGTGTATGTGTGTATGCATGTATCTGGGTGTGTGTTGGGAAAAAAAAAAGATAACCCGTGTATGTGTGTATGCATGTATCTGGGTGTGTGTTGGGTCTCTCTTCCCCCTTTCTCTCACCTTTCTCTCCCTAAGCCGAGAGAGAGAGATAGATGGGTTTGCATGTGTGGGGTCTCTGCCGTTGTGATCAGGGTGGAGAATGTGATCTCCAAGATCAGTCTATGGCTTTTGGTTCTGATCGGGGCCGGTTTACAGAAATGAAAAGATCTGTGGTTGATAAGAATCTGGGTCCATTGGTTAAGACTGTTATGACTCGGGCTGTTAATGTCTGTCGTGTACGACGAGGTTGGTCACGAGAAATTGCTCGGCGGGGACGGAGTGGTAGAGGGAGAGACCAGGGAACTCAAGGTTGACGCCGACGAAGATCCGACCGTCGGATCCTAATCCGACGGCGCCGACGTGTGTCTCAGTCTCATCCATCATGAATAGAAGATGCCTTTGGCTCCCTAACCTCTCTCCCCCCCAAACCGAGAGAGAGAGATCGAGAGTGGTCTGATTGCCTCAGATCAGTTGAGTGCGACTTCGGCGGCGGCGTGTTCGGCCTGGCGAAGGTGGAGAAGGCGGCGTGGCGCAACGCCGAGCTATCTGCGAGGGCGACGCAGCTGAGGCCACGGTTGAGATCATCATCTTTGAGAGTAAGGTGGATGAGATCCAAGGGCAATTTGAGAGTAAACTTTTGCATAATCATCTTTTCGGCTGCTGAGGAGCTCGCGCCATGGGCGGCGCATGGGTGCGTGTTGGCTCTGACTTGGCTAACTCGGGCAATGGCACAGGAGGCCACTGGTTTTGATTGATGAGAGGAAAAGTGGGATCCAACGGTTGTGATCGGATCTGGTGTTGCGGTGGTGAAAGTGTTGTTGAAGAATCTGTCATGAACAAGAAATTAGGGAAATTTGGGTTTGTCCGGCGGGCGGCCAAGGCGAGGTTGCCGCCTGCCGGTGAAACAAAATTATTAGGTTCTTAACCTAGCTCTGATACCATGTAAGATAAATTGATAGAGAGAGAGAAAATAAATTGTGTATATATTGATTGATGAATGTTGTATTGATTGATGTATATTACAAGGATTTATATAGGAGAGGATTTGGGAGTAGGTGAAGGTGGTAGTGGAGGTGGTAGGTGGAGTGAGTGGTAGTGGAGGTGGTAGGTGGGTGGTAGTTTATATTTTACAATTTACATTTTACATTAACAACAGTTATTATATTTTAGGGAAACACTATACGCACCATGTATTTTTGTGATAAATATTATACATTTTTATAATAAATGTTATGTATTTTTTTTAGTAAAATTACGACAATTTATGATTCAAAAATCAAGTTACGTATTTTGTAGTAGTGTTACGCATTTTTATAGTAATATTACATATTTTTATATTCAAATATTTTCTAATCACAAAACATGTAACATTATTACAAAAATACTTAATTTTATTTTTCAATTATAAATTGTCGTAACTCTTACTATAAAAATAAGTTACACACACTACAAAAATACCTAAAAAAGTACATATGGCACGCACTCTTGGAGGGGGAATGTACCATAGAATTTTCTCAAGAGTCATCAAGTGGCTCACAGGCAAAAAAACCCAACATTACCCAGTCTGGTTCATTCATCCCATGACATGATTTGGCCTGTTTCAATTCCCAACATGTCTCCACTCATAAAAAATGATTTAAGACGCTTTGGTCAGGGGCTTGTAACTCGAGCGCACTCATACGCCCAACCCATAAAGGCTCACACAAGCAAGCCCAACCCTACCATTCTATTGGCCTGTAATTCAAAGTTCATTAAAAGCAATTTTTGTGCACAAATTCAATACTGTTCATTCTAATGGTCTGAGCCTAGTCTAGCCCGATTGGACTTGAATTTTGCCTTTAGACTAGAGCCTATGGGCGAGAATGTAATTTCAATTTTTCTGAACAGGTCTAGTCTAGTTTGGCCCATCAATTGGTCAGAGCCTAAAAAACCTAATCTATATATGGGACTTGGGCACATTAATTTTGAGTTGCGTAAATCTAACCCGAGATGATCCCTAGTATGGGCAAAGGGAATTTGATATATGACAACTTTGTGTATTACAAAACCGTGTGAGTTTGAAAGCAACACTAGTGAGGAATTGTGTAAAAATATCAAAATGTGTACTTGTCTTAGCACTGTAATTTGTTTGTTTGTTTATTTTTTTGTTTTGTTTTGTTTTTTTTTGTTTTTTTTTTTTTTTGTCTTCTTGATTTGGGATAGTAAATTGATGTAATTTGTATTGTTAGTGGATCATTCTATATCGCTCATAAATTTAGATATTTTTGTCAAATCATGCGAATTTTTGTGTTTTTTATTTTGTTAGTTTTTGACATGGATAAGTCCATAAAGGATATGGCCCACCACCTAAGGACCAATTCATGATTCAAATACTAAAGCCTAACACTCGTGAAACCCAGCGTTGCACCAAACACCAATCACATCTAAACACTTGACAAGTAGAGAATCACCCACATCAGCTGACAAAGATCCTGTAAAGTTATTGCACCACACATCAACCATTAATGAGCTTTCCTACAACATTTATTGCGATAACCCTTCCCCGTCGAGACAGAACGGCCTCACCATGAACAAGGTAAGTTAAAGCATAGACTTTCGGTCAAGGTGACATGTCGGAAGGGATAATGAAATGATTAGCAGATGATATAAGCAGGCATCGAAGACAAAGAAATGGTTAAGCTTTCCTATCACTAATCCATTTCTATATTTCATCTCTCTTTCTAACTTGCTCGTCGGAGGGTTCGCTGGTAGACTTCCCGTCCCCCCGTTGAACTTTTGTGCAAGTCTCTCGGTGGGCTTGGTACCTCGGGCACCAGTTTGGAAAGCGTGAATCAATCCGACCTGTTCCATCTGGAACACGTTGTATCATCAGTTTTACTTCCATTATTTAAGTTGATTTATTTCCAACACATTCCTAACACTGTCACTAGTTAAGACCTTTCATAATATATGTCATAACAACAAATGAAGATTTTAGAGATACAAATTTAAAACTAAAAATTACTTTTTAAGACCAAATATCTTAATTTAAAAAAGTTTCACTGTTAAAATTATATCACTAATCTTGTTTGACAATATAAGAAATGTGAAGAAGAAAAGAAAAGAAAAAACTTCAAATATGTTAGGTACGAATAAATTTTTTTTAAAAAATAATGGAAATATTAGATGTTGGGAATGGAACAAGTGTAGAAGTAAAAGTCTAATGTCTCAGCCTAGTGTAGCCCGACTCGACTTGATTTTTGCCTTAAGACTAGAGCCTATGAGTGAACTGGTCCAGTTCAGTTTGGCCAGTCAACTGGCCAAAGCCCAAGAAGCCCAATATGTACATATATATGGGACTTGGGTACATTAGTTTTGAGTTGGGTAAACCTGACCCGAGATGGCCCCTGGTATGGGCAAAGGGAAGAAACTATGGATTATTTTGATATATGTGACAACTTTGTGTATTACAGTGGGGTGTGAGCTTGAAAGCAACAATAGTGAGGAATTGTGAAAAAATTTCAAAATGTGTATTTGTCTTAGCACTGTAATTTGTTTTTTTTGTTTTTGTTTTATTTTTATTTTTATTTTTGATAGTAAATTGATGTAATTTGTATTGTTAGTGGATCATTCTATAGCTCATAAGTGTAGATATTTTTGTCAAATCATGCATTTTTATTTTTATTTTTTGGTTAAGCTTACTTCCATTGTTTAAGTTGATTATTTCCAACACATTCCTAATACTGTCATTAAGACCTTTCATAATATGTAATATCTTAATTTAAAAAAGTTTCACTTTTATTTTTTTTAGCAACCACTATGGACATTTATTTAGCCATGAATTACTATTTTTTTTTTTTTTAGATTACAATTTTTATCTTAAAAAATTAACTTTTTGATACGAAATTGTTTTGTCCTAAAAGTGTTTTATTACTAATATTTTTAAAATTTTATTGCCAAAAATCATTTCCTTTTATACTTTGCAGACAATCTTTTCATGATGACTTATTTAATAATTGAAATTAATCTTCTAATCTTTTTTTTTTTAATAAAATTTTTATTTTTGAAAACAAAAAAATAAGTCCATAAAATCCTTATTATTGTGTTTTCCAACACGTTCCTCACACTGCCTCAATTACGCTGTATTTGGTTGGGGATATGGAAAGGGATTTGAAAAGGAAAAGGGAAAAGACGTGTGAAACTAAATAAAATATAGACATGTTTTATTCAAATTTCACATACCTTTTTCATTTTCCTTTCTAAATCTCTTCTCAAATCCTTCAACTAAACACAATATTAAGGTCTGTATAAAGTATTTGACAGAAAGAAGTGGAATTGTTTTGCTTGATAAAAAACTCCAGTGTTTATCCGAAGTAAATTACAAAACATTATGATACAGCAGCGCCACCATACTGGGAGTAAATGAGAAAGAAAGTTGGAGAACTCCCAAACAAACAACTATCACATATCTAATGAGAAAAATAAAACAAACAAAAAGAAAATTACATTGGGCATGCTATCCCACTTGCCATCCACATGCCCCATATTATTCTCTAGTTCTATTTTATAAAAATACAGTACAGAACATTTTTGGACACTTCACTCTTCACCTAAGTAGAAAATTGTAGGTTTTTTAGGTTCAGTGATCTCAACAGTCCCTTCCAGCATCTTAGCCACCTTCCCCATCGACGGCCTTGTATCTGGCCGATCCTGAAGGCACCACATCGCTGTTTTCACCATCCGATTCACTATATCGAAATGAGCCCTGCTATCATAAGAGTGCTTAATCTGACGGTCCAAAATGTCCTCCGTCTTTATTTCTTTGAACACCTTCCCAAATGCCCACCTAGGAAAATATCAATCTTTACTTTCCATTTTTGATCCTTGCGTCTCATAATTCCTAACCCTGCTCACAATTTCCAACAACACCATTCCAAACTGTACACATCAGCTTTTGGTGTGATCGGATCCATCTTGACCCATTTGGGTGCCATGTTCCCACGGGTGCCCCGGATCGTTGACAGGCTAACCATGTCTTCCTTTTTCCTTAATTTGGCCAATCCAAAATCCGATATCTTTGGGCAAAAATCAGCTCCCAAAAGTATATTCTCTGGCTTGATGTCGCAATGCAAGACCCACGCTAGGCAGTCTTCGTGCAAGTAGGCAATTGCTCTCGCCACTCCTAGCTTAATTTGGTACCGAATGTTCCAATCAAGTATTGGCTTGTCCTCGAACTCTGCAACCGCAACCGCAACCGCAATCGCAACCGCAACCGCATCCATTTCATATTCAGATCTCGGTATTGGCTTGTCCTCGGACTCTGCAACCGCAACCGCAACCGCAACCACAACCATTTCATATTCAGAGCTCGGTATTGGCTTGTCCTCGAACTCTGCAACCGCAACCGCATCCATTTCATATTCAGAGCTCGTTGGTCTTACTTGCCTAGAAGAAAATAGAAACTTGTCTAGTGAACCATTGGGCACATACTCGTAGACAAGTATCCTCTGACCCTTCTCGGCACAAAAACCCCATAATCGGACCAAATTGAGGTGGTGCATTCGGGCAATAATAGTGACCTCAGCCCAAAATTCAGCATCACCACCCGTAACATTTTTCAAGCACTTCACGGCGACAACCCGGTGATCACCCAACTCTCCTTTATAAACATCCCCAAATCCACCTCTACCAACAATATTAGAGAAATTATTAGTGGCATCTTTGAGCTCGGCATAGCTAAATCGCTTGGGTCCGCCCGCGGGCAAAAATTCAAGCCCGAGGGTCTGAGCCATATCCCTATACTTGATGTACTTCTTGAGAAAAGCCCAAAAGAAAATGGTGGTGGGTGGTGGTGGCAAGTGAGTGGTGAGTGGTGATGGCAGGTAGTGGTGGCGGAAGACGGTGGTGGAAAATGGGTGGCAGGTGGTGGCTAGTGCTGGGTGGTAAAAAAAAAAAAAATTCAAAATGGAAACACATTTTTTGAGTTTACATTTTTTTGTCAAATTTATAAACTGAGACCACTAATTTATAAATCAAAAATTTACCAAACAAATTTTTATTTGAGTTTTTAAAATTTTTGTAACTATAAACAGAAAACTGAAAACGTAGTGTTACCAAACGGCACCTAAGCATTCATCGTACCCGAAGTTAACGATAAATCAAAGAATTATACAGAATAAAAAAAAAAATCCAAATAAAATAACCAACAAAATAAAATAAAACCTTACATTAAAATCATGAAGAATAGTTGGCAAATATCAAACACTTGTTGTGGCTTCACTCCTTACCTTATGTCACTCCTTACCTTATGAAAATGCTTAGCTACTCATAGTTAAAAACACAAACTTAAAATATAGAAAATATAAATTAAAAGAGAATGAAGACTTTGTTGGGAGATTAAAGTTTCACTCTCCGCGTTCTCCAATTAAGCCCCCATCCTCTCTATTTATAGACCAAGAGAAGAACAAAACCAAACAAAAATACAAATCTGCTAATTTACGTTTTTCTGTAAATAGGTGACTGTTCCACTGAATTTTTGTCCCCCTAGATGATAAAATCATGTTTTCCTCAAAGCATAAGAGTTTTAGGTCTGTGAGTCTTCTTTCCAGGGATATAAAGTTCACCTAAATCAAATTTCTAAGTTGAAAGTTATGGCCAAATTAATGAAGCTGGACAGTTTTGTCAACAATAATGGCTGGAGTTCATCTGAAGTTGCAGCTCGTTTTTGACCTTGCAGAAGCTGGAATGGGAAGTTTTGTAAAAGATGAAAGTTGTAGATCTCTGATATATCTATCTACAGATGCAAACCTCATCCGAATCTGAATTTTGAGTCAAAAGTTGTGGCCATATTAATGAAGCTGTCCAGAACAGATTTTTCATCTTCATTCCATTTCTTTTTACCTTGTTCAGCAGAACTCAAAATCCAACGTTATAACATGAGTGATGTCTTCTTTCATTTTCTTTTTAAAGATCAAAAGTCAACCCAAAATTTTATTTATATACAAATTATTCTGCAAAACGTAAATTTAATCTATTAAGCTCATAACTACAAATAAAAAGAGAGAATTAACATCATAAAAGTGTATTAATATCTAAAAATAATAGAATAATTATATTCATTCATCTTTAGGCTTGTGTTGTTATTATCCAATGGTTTGGCAATTGCTTTTATGGTTGCTTTTAATTTTTTTTTAAATACCATTTGCTGTTTTTTTTTTTTTTTTTTTGGGTAAGATCAATTTGTTTTTTAATTTTTAAATAATATGAAATATTATGTTCAAAGTGCATTGGAGTTTTTTTTTTAAAATCTAAAAATTGATTGGACACATGTCTGACGCACATTTAGGACCACCAGTCCTGAGTTTTTTTGGGCCCTAAACAAAATCTTAAAATAAATATTAGTGATGAGAGAGTATGCTGTGGCTGGCCTTTTGGACTAAACACAACTAGATCATTGACATTAGTAAGGGAAGTCTGAGAAGGGTTGAAAGAAAAGAAGTGGCATGGTGAACCTCTTTATGCATTAATCTAATGATCAATCTAATTTTTTGTTTGTTTCACTGTTTCATTCTATGTTTATAAGTAAGACAATTCTTGCTCAAAGATTGTATAATGGTTAGTCATGGTCTGAGTTGTACAGCTAGAAAGGTTTTTGTTCAAAGATTGTATTGGTTTGTCATGGTCTGAGTTGTACAGCTAGAAAGGTTTTTGTTTTTGTTTTTGTGAGAACTAGTTGTCGGACAACACCTTTTACAATAACAGCAAATGCAAGCAAAAGTATTTGAAAGCTGGTACACCAGATGTATTATTTGATAAGCTGTAAGAGTAGATAGATGATCACACAATCGTTCCTATTCTGATTAACTGAAACAAGATTTTTACCATATATACAAAACTGATTAAAAAAATTCTTACACGAGCAATACTAATTTTATTATCTCACTCAGATTCAGAAATGACTTCTAACTTGCTGTCAAAAGACTTTCCACCTGTAGCAGTTCTGGGATTTGTGGTGGTAAATGGATTGGGGGGCATGGCCAGAGTGTCTCCATCTCCTTCTAGCATTTGAACAACAACTTTCATGGAAGGCCGGTCTCCTGGGTACCACTGAATGCACCAAAGTCCCACAATTGTTATTTTCTTCAAAATCTTAGCATCTCCGTCTTCCTCAACCACAATCCCCTGTTCATGATTTAAACGGTCATAGATCCATTCAGGGAAGTAAACTTCGCTGGTATTCTGTGTTGTAACATGGGTATTCTTCCTTCCTCCAACCATTTCAAGCAACAACATTCCAAAACTGTAGACATCTGATTTGCATGATACATTCCCGAAGTTCCTAGAGAACACTTCAGGTGCAATATAGCCTACGGTTCCCCTAGCAGCAGTCATGGATACAGCACTTTGTTCTTTCGAACACAACTTGGCTAGACCAAAATCAGAAATCTTAGGATTGAAGTTGTGGTCCAACAAGATGTTATGAGGTTTAATATCGAAATGAAGGATTCGTTGATCACATCCTTGATGAAGATATTCAATACCTTTGGCTATCCCAAGAGCAATACCTTGCAGCCTCTCCCAACCAAGTGAACATTTTTCCTGATTGGATGATATAAACTTCTCTAACGAATCATTTGGCAAGTACTCATAAACGAGAGCTCTTTTAAATCCATCGGCACAGTATCCGACCAAGCGAACCACGTTGATGTGGTGAATTCTGCCTATTGTTCCAACTTCGTTGATGAAGTCGTCCCCATTCCCCTTGACATCGTTGAGGATCTTGGCTGCAATGTGAACGTCATTGGAAAACTTTCCCTTGTACACTGTTCCATAACCTCCTTGGCCTAGTTTTTCCTTAAAATTATCAGTAATTTTCTTAATCTCTACATAAGTGTATCTTGTAGGCTTGAGAGCTCTGTAATCCTCCAAAAATCTTTCAATTTTCATTTGATCCTCTTTCTTTGATTTATTTGATCTGTGGACAAGATATACTGTTACCATGACTACAAGAAGAAGAAACAAGCCGGAAGGGATCACACCTGCAAATTTAAACAACCAAATTAGGAGGGAAGACTCCTTCTCTAGAAAAATCAAGGGAAGAGGCATATAGAAAATTCACCTTTAAGAACTGGGCTTGGGCTTTTTGTTTCACCTGTAAAAGACAGACAAGATCAAACAGTTTGTCATTCATAAAATTATATAATTTATTTGCTATAGGTTTTCAGGATGAAAGCTCTTTCATTTGTCAGCAAGTGTCATAGTTTGTGGAGAGATCTGATGGTTACTCCAATGAGTCACATGACAGCGAAAATCACCTAATTAATTTGTAGGCCTATGTGACTCCTAGGACTCTGTTTGGATCATGATTTTGGAAATAGAAATGGGAAAGGTGAGGAAGATGTGAATGAAATACAACCTAAATTTTTTTATTTTTCTTTTTCAAATTTCTATCCAAAATCCTTGATACTGAAAGTAAAACACGGGGAAAACTAGTCGTAGAGGGACAGAGGAGTACCTGTAGCTTGTTTGCCAAGTGAAGGAGTATCCGTAATAGTTGATGGTGGGTTAGGGATATTATTGTGAGAACATTCAGTTTCATCATGTTTTCTGCTGCTGCTGTTATTCCTCCTCCGCAATCTACAATACTTGCCTATTTCTTCACACCTCCAACATATGGGCTTGGACCAACTCAATCGAAGTTCATTAGTATATAGAGGGGAATCTATTGATGTTATGGTATATAACTTTCTGCAAGATAATAGGAACTGCTGGATTAAAAAAACATCAGGTACCGCATAGACCACGTGACCTTGGCTGCTGTTGTGGCAATTATTTGTGATTGGAAACATTGAATTACTGAAATATGCATTTTCTTTGTTATACCAATCCAAAGGGTAGGTTTGCTTTGTTGAGAAGGGACAACTGAAAAGGCTAAACTTACGTTGGTAATGTGGTAAAAATTCGAAGAGAGAGGGTTGGTAAAGTGGTGAAAATTTGACGGGAAAGGGTAGGTAAAGTGGAGAAAATTTGAAGGGAGAGGCCGATAAATTGTGGTTTAGATTTAGGAGAAGTTGTTCGAGAAAGCAATCACTGGGGTCATGTATATATAACGACTGGTCTATGTAATCGATTCGCATGACGAATATCTTGGCAGTCCCAAAAAATGGGAGGTCAAGCAGGGTATCTTTGGTTGGGGAGCAGGATAGTTGAAATCCAGGATACCCACAGTGATTTGGCTGATGGTCCTTTAGCCAGAATGGGAACCGGATGTCTGGGCCATTGTCCCCACACCTCCGTGTCACCGCGCATTCATCTGAATCTCGTGGACGTGGTTGTGGTTGTGGTTGTGGTTGTGGTTGTGGTTGTGGTGCTCCTCCAACTCCAAGAAATCCTGCGGCCAATACTACAGATTGGAGTTGGAACAAGAAGAGAAAAACAGAGAACAAGAGGAAGAAGAACATCATGGCCATTTCCAATTTTAATTTCCTTTGTGGAGTTCCAAATTCAATGCCTCGTCCTCATCCTCATCCTGTCTTTCTATATTGATGCTAATTGCTCGCTTGACTTCAAGTCCTCATCTTCATCTCCTCTCTCTCTCTCTCTCTCTCTCTCTATTGATGCTAATTGCTTGCTTGACTTCAAGTCAAACCTACGTACACAGCAAAGCGCTGTGACGAAAAAAAAATTTCAAACAAAGCCGTGTAGTTTTGAAGTTTAACCCACTTCGTTGCAATTACTTGGTTAGTATCTATAGTTTTCAATGAAAGACTTGGACTTTTCAGGCGACGACTTA